CGGGAACTAATAGAGCGAGAACTCACTCACTACCCCTCCTCCCCCAGGGAGAGCATTAATCCATTCATGAGGGATCCACCCCCATGACTCAATCAGTTTCCAACACTGCCACATTGGAGATCAAATTTCCACATGAGTTTGGGAGGGGACAACACATCCAAACTCCATCATAGACAAATCAACTCTTAATTACTCTTGAATTGCTTTAGGTTTATTTGTTTCCTCTCCCAGTTGTACTGTAATCTTCTTTAAGGGGAGAATGTAGTTATTATGCATCATTTATGGCCTCCACAGTACCTAGCAATGCTCAGTAATCTCTTGGTCACCACTAGCCATGTGATGACTCTTGATCCTATAATTCTTGAGTCTATGACACTAAGATCCTATGGACACTACAAAATTCTCTAAAAATACATTTGATACTCTGCTAATATATTACCTTATAGAGAATTTTAATCAAGTAAGCTAGTGAGGCTATTTTGTGAAATAACTTTAAAATTGCCTTGAGAAATCCAATTTTAAAATTAGTTTTAAAAAATCTCCCATGGGGTCTGAATTGTCTGTACCACTTTTCTAGGAATTTCAGACAAATTCTCTGATACCTATTCAACAAAACTCAATAGAATAATAGAACTTTTACCCTGTAAATTGGGGTCATTTTTAATTTTAAAAATATTGAAATCAATCATTTATTCATTTAAATATTTTGATATGTAGTTTACAGAGATAAAGCAGATATTTATTTTGCATATTAGGCAGTTTCATGTGTGAAGGGCCATCAGACTGGCACATTGTGTTTTATAGGAAAAAAAATCATGTCCACCTTTGTTATGACTTATAATCCCCTGACTTTCCATTCCTCTTCTCCCCAGACTTGCTGTGAGCATTAATTCATTCACACTCTCACATTTATAAAAAGTTTACTTATGACCCATGCTTTACAAAGTCATCCTATTGGTAAAACACCTATACGAAATCTGTGGAGAGGTATTTTTTAAAGGAATATCATGATAAAAACAGTTTATTAGCTGGATCACCTGGGAAAATTATTTATCTTTTCTGAGCTTCTTTTCTCATCTATTAGGTAATATTTTCCATCTTTCAAGGCTGCTGTAATGAGGAATGATAATAAGCCAGCACTACCTCTCACAGTGTGTCTGGTACTTAGTAGATGCTTAGTAAATTAAAGCTATTGGTATAAATTCCATACGTACATTTTACAATTTACATTGTCTATTTTCCCATATTCTGCTTCCTCTGGTCCTTATTGTAAAAGGGCTCCCTTCCCTGGTATCTATCCACAAACAGCAATGGTCCGTTAAGCAGTCCTCTAAATTATTCAAGAGGATTTTATAAGGGTTTTTAGTTCTACTTTTTAAATATTAGCATTCAATAGTACTTGCATGGGCAAACTAATCATCATCTTTTCACACTAACTTTCATATTATAATATATAATAAAACACGGGTTTAGTGGCTGGCTCTTGGGCAGGGAGGGATGAGAGAAAACCATGAAAAAATCTTAGGGCTGGCTGGTTAGCTCAGTTGGTCAGAGCATGGTGCTGATAACACCAAGGTCCTAGGCTTGATCCCTGTACCAGCCAGCACCAAAAAAAAAAAAAAAAAAGTCTTAGTGTTCTCTTTAAAAAATATTATTCTAATATATTGGAAAAACAAAGGAGTTTTGGTCTCTGTAGATAAAATCTGCATTCAAACATCCTTGGGATATATCCTCACTTTACTATGATCTAATCAAATTTGAAAGCTCCAAAGCTCATTGTTATGAACCCGATCTGTTGTAGCTGCTTTCAAACTAAAAATAGCTTTAAAAATAAAAGAACGAGTGATTTAGTCATCTGAAAGCAGTTATTCCACAGTTTATAGTTTAGAAAACCATAAGTCATAAATTACAGCCAATAGTTCACTCTAAGTTTCATTCAGTATCAGTGAACCAAACTCTTGTAGAAAAAAAATGTTAGAAAAAAATATATCAGAATTTTCTTTTAGAGGACTAAGATTCTTCTTTTTATTAAATCAATTAGCAAGTAAGAATAATGTATTTTTGACATAGCCTCAAACACAAATTTGCTATGGCCCATCTGAGGATGTGTTTCATCAAAATAAGTATAATAAAAAATTACATAGTAAATTTTTAAAAAGTATTATGGGCAGACCTTACCTGTTTCCTGGATCAAAATCTTTGTTTCGGGAGTGTGTAGAGGGGTAACTGCAGGAAACCCTTGTTTTCTTAACTTTCCCCTGAGAGTATTAAGAAGCCTAGTTTTGACCTTGTGCTAGATCATTTGGTAAACCAGATGACACTGAAAGATGGCAGTAATCATGCAGCAGGTAAAGTAAAGGAAAGCCCATGATGTTGGAGGATGCTTAGCTATATCCTGTTTTAACAGGGCTTAGCAGGATGATCCAAAATCAAATGTCTTTTCAGAATTTGGACTCACAGTGTGTCTTCCTCTCTCTCTTATGTTTCCACCCCCATAAGTTTCACCTACGTCCCTTCTGATTAACATTTTAGAAAAATGTTCACGTAGAAAAATAAAAACCATTTTTCTGTGCAAATAATTCAAGCAATTAAAGCTAAAAGTGAATATATTTAAATGTCTCTAGGACAAACAGCAAGGACTAATGCAGAACTTGGCTATAAATAGGAAAATTCTTTCAGATGATAAATCTTAAAAGTGTATTTAAAAAAATTTAACTCACAATAAATTATAGAATACATTGTCATAAACATACAGGAAATAGTGGATCCAGTATCTTTATTATAGTGAGAAAATACTCTGAGCCTGAGAAAATTTCACTTTTATGATCTTGGCTTGATTTCTCTAACAAGTCTCTACCTCTCACAACTATGTAATAAAAAATACTAAGTGGCTTAAATGTATAACCCAGTTACATAAATCCAGATTTTTACTTGGAAGGAAAATTATATAAAAGTTTTGAGTAGGACAAATTTATAAAGAAAAAATTAATTTTGCTCCTATATTTAAACTACATATGATCAGGCTCTTACCAAAAAATTTATACACCTAAGAATTTAAAATTCCACATTATAACATTTAGTTCCATGCTTTTTTTTTCATAACCATGCTTTCTTATTTTTGGTCAGAACACAAATTTGCTTTTCAGTGTTCAGGATTTTTTACATTTTCTTTTTTTGGGATATAAGTATCTTAGTTTTCTATCTCAGCCCATCCTATCCTTTAACCAGTGAGTAAATATTAGGATCAGCCAGGATTAGGTTCCACTAATTCCCCATTCCTAGCACGGTCCATATCTCCCTGCCAAATTAACACTTATTTCCTAGGATCAAGGTTTGAGGGCTGGCAGGACCTTAGATGTCCCATCCAGAAAAGATTCGATTCAGGAATCCTCTCTGCTATTTCCTTGTCACACTCTGAGAGTACCAGGGTACTTCAAAAAGCACATGGAAAGATTCATATTATCTTTTAATTCTATCTTTCCACAAACTTTATGAAGTACCTTCTTATTCAAGGTTCCTTGAAGCAGCCTTGTCCATTGCCAGGTAGCTTATTGGTTCAAGAGTTTTTTCTTGTGTCCAGACTAGATGTGTGATCCCAAACGAATCACAGCATCTCCTCAGTCTGGATTTTTCTAAATATGAAGAAGAGGTGATGATTGACAAGGCCATACAAATCATAGAATCCATCCTAATTATTTAAATGGCAGCAACTAGAATTAAATGCTTGCTTGTAACATTTTTGGTTCTAAAGGACTTTGAAGGGTGAGGTCAGTGTTTAAGGTCCAGGGAAGTAATTTTTAACACCATGTAATAAGAGTTTTTTAATGCTACTGAGCACTAGTTCTGCATCCTATTCTCTAAAGATACATTTCCTGGCCACTTGTTCCTTAACCCCTTGCTGACCAGAGTCTGCCACTGAAAGCCCCGCATGGCATTTAGGCACCATGTAGGGTGCTCCCACCACGTGTCCATTATTATTATTATAGACACCATTCCCAGAAAACCACCACTGTTAGAGTCAGTGGTTAATCTTCCACCCTCATCTGCTTCTCTGTAATATGTTACTGTTGCCCTCTCCCATCTTTTAAAAATTCTCTCTAGCCCCAGTGACAATGCATCCTTGATTCTCCTTTGCCATTTTTTGATAACTCTTTTGTCTGATTCCTTGGTTCCTTCGCCACGCCCATGCCCATTAAAGGTAGCCGTTCCTTTGATCCCCTAATCTCCCCCAGTGAGAATGCCGAACCCCACTTCCCTTCTATCTGTAAAGGATTCTGTCACTAATTCACTGTTCGACCTTAACCCACCACCTTCTCTGGGATTCATTCATTGTTGAGAAAGGGGAAGAATGTACGCATTCATACTTGATGATCCCGATGTCTTTACAGTGCTATGCTGGTTTATCCTAATCCCATTCCTGTATTCCATCAGTATGTGGTACAATTTCAGAAAGCCAGTGTAAGTCTGTGATGGAGCAAGACCACCCCCAAATCATCAATTCCAGTATGGGAAGGAACCTCCACTTCACAGCTGAAGAAACCTAGGTCCAGGGAAGATATTTGATTACCTCATGGTAGAGATGGGGATAGGAAGGAGGTGTCTCAGGCTCTCACTTGTGGCAAAATCAGGGTTGAAGTGTCTAACGTATATAATTATATCAGAGTAAAAGGTGTTAATAGAAGGTATAAATTGGCCTAGAAAACATTAAAGCCTTCCCCCTCTTTAAAAAATAAACTCTATGGGCCAGCCCTGTGGCGCACCCAGGAGAGTGCGGTGCTGGGAGCGCAGCGAAGCTCCCGCCACGGGTTCGGATCCTATATAGGAATGGCTTGTGCGCTCACTGGCTGAGCGCGGTGTGGGCGACACCACACCAAGGGTTGCAATCCCCTTACCGGTCACGAAAAAGACGAAAAAAAAACAAAAAAAACTCTATACTGCAACTACAAAAGTTTTGGAGAGATATTTGCTATAGATGGTGCTTTACACAAGATAGCACAATCTGATCACATAAAACATCTTAGATGAATGTTTTTAAAAGACAAATAAAACAAAACATCAAGTCACGGAATACGTATATTTACATTAGTTCACATGTCCAAAGCACAGTACAGTAAGGTCTATTTAATAGTTCATATAATTTAAGATTTACATATACACAAGCATATGAACAAATATCAATCTGCCAAAACAAAAGTTTAGGAAGTTACTCAGACATTTTGGTGTTGACATCTATATATTTATGGCAACAAATAACAATGACTTTAATCTTTCAATGAGATCTTTTGTACAAAGATACAGAACGGAAAGAAGACAAACACATCTACCTTTCTTGCACTATTTATCTAACACCAGAGAGGATATGGCATTATCCAGTAAATTTTACCAGTGTAGTCTGTTCACTCTGGTCTGAAATAATGCTTTTGACTAAGACATTACCAAATTGAAGTTTACTTCCTGCTTTATAAACAATTGGTTGATTCTTCCTTCTACAACTTTTAAAAATACAATAGTACTAATGCTTGTCTGTAAAATAACTCAACTTTGGTCCTAATAAGTTAGCAAAGTCTATTTTTAAAGAACACTAACACATAAAGTCTATTTTTTCTTTTAAGAATCCTGAAAAGAGGAACAATGTGAGTCATATCACCTCCAGACCAGCTCTGAAATTATTAATGGTGCTAAAGATCATGATATTGTTATCTAGAATTTAAACTTTGGAAACAACCCCATCTTTCTTTGGCACATTGAAGAACCAGAGTACTTTACTTCATTTCCTGTCAACCATTTTAAGCGACCATGTGGTTGTATTTAAAAAACAAAAAACAGAAAAAACAACATGATTTCTGTCCTGCTGTTTATTTCGTAGACCACACACAAAGTTAAATATGGAGAGATTAAATTACATCATACAAATACAGGCACAGAATTAACTGGACGCCACAAAGGGTGTGTCTGAAAACACTGAATTGACTGAATCCGAGTCGGATTTCACCCTTGTGGACTTTAAGATGCCCTCAGCTATAACCGTCTCACTGGGAAAGAGCCTGACCTTCCCATTCTGCCCTGCTGCGGTATCCTTCAGGGGCTCCAAAAAGACCACTCTTTTACTTGCACCTGCCTTCCGTTCATCAGCAGAGCCATCGCTAGCCGGGCCGGGAATGAGAATGGATGAATGGGCATTGCTTTGGTTTAGCATATTTTTCTGTCTCTTGGTTTTACACTTGCAGGGACATGGGGTCAGATAAAGGTACAGAAGTACCAAAACAATACTGGCCACGCAGGCGGCAAGAGTAGTAAAAGCTGTGTTAAATGCCTCATGAGCATGGGATTTGTTGATGGTGAAATTGCTGACGTTTATTGTGACATCCACAGTTTCATTTAACAGGCGTTGCCTATTCATTGCAATACAAGAATACACTCCAGCATCCTCAAAACGAGGGCTTTCTATAACCAGACTTCCATTGTGAAACACGTGAAAGTTTTCTATCTCTTTATCCGGCTCCAGCAATCTGTTATCTGGACCCACCCAGATGAAATCAGTATTTGCATTACCAGTCTTGCTGTCACAGTGGACCATCAGCCTTTCCCCGACCTGAGCCTCATGAATAAAGCCAAGTGCACGGAAGGAACCATTAATGATGCTGTCAGAGCAATTCATAAGGCTCTCCTGGAGCAGAAGCACTTGATGGAAGTGCTTGGAGTCAGACCACAGGCGACAGGTGTAATCGTTCTTAAAATCCATCACTGAGCTAAACTGCCTTCGATACCAAAAGATCAGCAATGAGTACAGGGAACAGTCACAGACAAATGGGTTTCCATGAAGGTAGATGCCTCTCAGCTGTTTTCCTGGCACTAAGTTTATATGGTGCATTGGCATGGAAGGGATCCGGTTATAAGAAACATCTAAAAACATCAGTTCAGCCAGCTTGAACCGTCCAACATACAAATCCATAGGAAACTGCGTGAGAAAGTTTCCACTTAGGTATAGTTTTTGCAATTGGGAAAGCCCTCCAAACGCTGACGGATCCAGATAGGAAATGTGATTGTTGTAAAGCAGGAGCACTTCCAGAAACTTCAACTCTTCAAACACTGCATTTTTCACTGTCTTCAGCTTATTGGATGATAAGTCAAGACACTTCAAATTTGGAGTTGTGGAAAAACTGCCCGTGGAAATGCTGGTGATGTTGTTATGACGAATAATTAGGGTGTTCAGCTTTACTAACGATACCGGAATCCACTCAGAATCCAGAAGCCCAATTCTGTTATAACTCAGATCCAGTCTCTTAATCAGTCTGAAAAGGTTTCCAGGCACCTTGGACAGATTTTTGTTGGTGCAGCTGACAATGTCGGTGGCACAGATGCAAGCGGTGGGACACACCCCAGAGGCACCCGGGCTCACAGTCACCGTGATCATCAACAAACACAGCAGCTCCCTGCAGCCCGGTCTGACAACTCCAGACAGGGTGGGCAGTGTGTGTAAACGTAAAGACATTATGGTCGCCTCGGAGCCTCTTCCCGGCGCCTTTCCACCAGCCCAGACTCCCACCAGTGAACCTGGTAAACAACATTTAAGAGGGGAGAACAGCAGAAGTTAACCCTTAAAAATCAGACCTTATTTTCTGTCCAATAACTTTTGAAATGGATTTTATTTCACACTGGGGAGCTCTGCTTGACTTTTTACTATTAAATACATTTTTTTCCTGGGTTACTCCTGCTCATCGACATGACAGTCACATTCTCTCAAAACCAACATCTGTCTCACCATCAGAAACTCAATTTTTTTTAAAAAAGGATGCATCCTGCGTTTTTTAAAACTCCCTCCAGCAGACACAAAAATACACAAACGCATCCTATAAACAATTAAACGGAAATATTCATCAAGCCCCCAGTCCAGAAAACAACTCACGAGCTGGGAAGCCTCTCGGGCTCCGGGGACAGGCCGCCGGCAGTGGTGTCTTCTGAAGGTCTGCGCGTCTGTCTGTCCGCGCCTGTCACTTGCACGTTCCAAGTTCCTTTCTCTCTTGCTCCCGGCGGGCGGCAGCCTCTCGCAGGCTCTCAACTTTGGGGAGTTTCGACAGCCGCGGTGGCGGCGGCGGCGGCGGCAGCAGCCCCAGTCGCAGCCACCCTCTCCGCCGCCTCGGGTTGGTCCTGCCGGGCTCCTCTCATTGCACGGCTGAAGGTACCGCCTCGGCGCTCTGGCCGCCGAGTGCCCGCGCGCGGGGCGCCCCGCTCCGGGAGCCCGGTCCGAGGGGCGGGGGCGCGGGCAAAAAATAGTCTAAAAAGAAAAAGTGACTTTCAAAAATGGAAGCAGGAAGCTTATGTTATCATAGTTGCAGGCATATCATAGATGCATTATGCAAAGGTTACACAGCGTAAACTACATGCACTCAAAATCCACTGAGCAGGCTATCCATTTGAAGAACTGATTTGGGGGGTTCCATTCATTTGTTGAAGGGAAGAAAGTTGTGAAAGGTTTGGGTTTACTAGTTGGGAGAAGAGAAAGGTAAGAGTTGCCCTTAATAATGGCACACAATATGACCTCATTTTTGTGGAAGTAACATTTTTATCTTTCCAGCATCCCAGAACTCTCTTCACCTTCTTCTAACAGATCTCCTTTTTCCACTAGAACATAACTTCCATGAGGGCAGCGATTTTATCTGTCTTGGACACTATTCTATTCCCAACTCCTAGAACCCTGCTTGGCATGTTCAACAAATTTTTGATCCATGAACTGATGAATGGGAAAGCTATTCTAGGTGGTTGAGGGATGGTTTACTCCAACTGAGTCTGTTGGTTGCTGTTCTGCTCTTTGTACTGCAAAAAGCTTGTCTGAAAGATGGAGGAGAAGGAAGGGAAAGAGGAATCCTGCAAACATTATTTAGGTCCTAGATCCAGAAGTGCCCGAACACTTATACTTCCTTTTTAATTACATTTTCCATCCGCCCCCCTTTTTTTTTTTTGCTTAAATTGTTTTGAGTTATACTTAAGTACCTTGTGACTAATAGAGCCCTAATGCCTATAATGATAGTGATAATAAATATGTATTGGGCCATTATTATGTGCTAGACACTGAGCTCTATGTTTTCCCTGCATTATTTCATTTACTGCTCACCACAACGCTGTGACATTATATAATCCTATAACCCAGATGGTAAACAACTGTGTTTCAAATTATTTGAAAATGGAATGGGACAAAATTATCTCAAAGTTCTATTTGAAGGATTTAGATTAAAGAGAAGAGAGACATTTCTGCCAGGGTTGCCAAGACAGATGGTTGAGTTGTCTTCTCAGGAGTTTAAAATAGAACAGATAGATATTTCTCTGTCCGTGTGGCATAATCTATTGGTATTTTGACCATTGAGTAAAGGAAAATAGAAAGTGGCTTGACACTTGGCATGATTCTGAATCTGGCATGCTGAGGTGGGTGTGGTGATGTGAATTTCTGGCTAGGTCTGGAACTCCTGCCTGGACACAGAGATTTGAGTAGATGAAATCTCAGGAGTTCTTCCAGCCCTGTGATTTCCAGAATTTCTCAGGTTGTAATTAAAGACATAAAGAATTAGAGATATGAGACAAGAGATTGTTACAGCACTAGTTAGATGATTCTAAGTTGTTTATATGAATAATTAACACTTTGATAGCATTTTATATCCTATGAAACGTTTTCACATTCTTTATTTCTCTTGATTCTAGCATGTGTCCTGTCACCGGGTGTAATTTGGACATTGGAAGATATCTATTCTTGCCTCTTTTTTTAACCTGGGGGCACATTGGGGGTTCTTTGGAGACGGTGCTCACTGGGGTCCCTAGCTCTGCAGGCACCTGATTGCTGCACACAGGAGTTTCCTGTGGAGGTTTCCTCACTCTGGTGGGCAGCACTCTTAATAGGGTTTTTACAATGTGGCATAAGCCTTAGAACCATCTCTCACCCAGTCCTACGTCTCTCACTATGTGGAGACATTTTCAGGGGAGAATCAGACTCTAGCTTCTGTGTTCTCTGAACTCCAGGAGGCATGTGTCAACTTGCAGCTTGATTCCCTGGAAGATCCCTCGACCTGGCTGGAATGGGGGGCAGGGGTGCACTCAGGGAAGTACTAGGTGTCCTCCCCAGAGAGAGCCCACAACAGTGCAACTCTAAGCAATCTGCACTCAGCCATCTGATTTTTCTTCTCTTATCTTCACTGATATAGGCTGGATGGTTTTTTTAGTTTTGGTTTTTTTTAATTCAGTTGAGATAAGATTCACATAACATAAAATTTACCATATTAACCATTTAAAAATGTACAATTCAGTGATTTTTAGTATACTTATAATATTATGCAACCATCACCACTATTTAATTCCAGAATATCTTCATCACCCCAAAAAGAAGCGCCGTACCCATTAAGCTGTCACTTCCATTCCCCTTTCTCCCAGTCCTGGTCAACCACTACTTTACTTTCTGTTCCTATGGATTTGCCTTTTCTGGACATTTCATATAAATGGAATCATACATTAGGAGGCCTTTTGTGTCTGGCTTCTTTTACTTAGTGTAATGTTTTCAAAGTTTGGTTGGAGTTTTATAGCTAAAGATTGCAGAATCAGTTGGGATCATCCCTTGAAAGTCCTGCATAGTTGGTTTAGCTGAACTTGAACTTAGAATGTGGCCCTGGGGCCCAAAGTTCCATTTACCAAGAGCCTTAAATTATAAAAGTATTAAACTCCTGTGCGATTACAGAAACCTACCAGTATTACAAGATAAGAAGATCTAAGATCTAGTCTTGAGCAAAAATCCTTTAACATCTTCATAAACCCTAAAAGTTAATTGGGGATATGACAATTAGAGGTTTCTAAAGTTTCTTTCAACTTCAAAAAATTAATTTGTTTTTCTTACAACAGTTAGTCCTCTGTTGCTCAGGTCCCAGGAACACAGACTTAGAAAAGAGGTACTAACCAACTAGAGCAGGTGTGGGTTTAGTTTCTTCATCTGGGTCAGTTAGTGTTGCACTGGGCAGACACAGGCTTCTCCTCTCTCTCTCCAATTAAAGATGTCAGTCCCATTGCTTCTTCAGGAAAAGTAACTTAAGGCAAGTTCTCTAGAACGGAGAGACCGCTTTAATCTATTAAATATTCGACTGTTTGGCTATCACTCATTCATTGCAGCAACATTTCTAATAGAAAAAAAAATGGGCACATTCTTAATGTGCAACAGGGATGTGGGTAAATAAATTAGTGTATATCCATTTAATGTCATACTATATTGTCATTAAAAATAATGTGACAGGGGAATATCTGGTGATATAGCAAATAGTTGTAAAATGGTATGATTCCTGTTTTTGTAAAAGAAAAAAATATATGTATGAATTTCATGATATGCCTAGCAGACCATCTGAGAGAGTATATACCTATGTCTTAAAAGTGGTTTTTAAAATATTTCTTTCCTTATCTGTATATTCTATTATTCTGCAATGCTTTTGTGATAAGAAAAAGTACAATGAAAACATAATTGTTTAAAGTCACGTGTATCAGTGTTTCTGCTTAGTTGTGATTTCTACTTAATAATCAGCTACTGTAGTTTCAGAGAATAAAACCCTCTCCTTTGCTTCTCAGGCAGGAAGTAACTGTGACCTCCCCTGTTTTGAGATACAATAATTGCTATCCTGCCTTAGTATTACAGCCCTCTATTTGACAAATATTTACTAAGCACCTACTGTGTGCCGGGCACTATTCTTTAGTCTGGGAATTATAGCAATACATAGATGCTGCCATAGCCATCCTAGCCTGACTAAAATGAGGCGCATAATAGGCACTTACATATTTCTTAGTGGCCAGGTGTCCACATTTCCAGGTTTGGGACTCAACATTCTTGGTTGGGATCAACTCCCAACAGCTCTGAGTCCTTCTCTCCCAAAGCACATTCTTAAGCTAGCCTTTGTGAAGGTAGCATGGTCCCCTTCCCTATGCCACTATTTGTTTTCCATGTGAAACAAAAATAAAAATAACTATAAACCCTTTTTTTCTAATTCTAAAAGTACTGTGTGCTTGTTGAAAAATTGTGGAAGGTATAGGAAAAGCATAAAGAATCAGAGAAAGCCATTCATAATCTCACTAATAAATTATAGTTTCTGTTTAAAGAATAAACCCATTGAAGTGAGAAACCTGAGGTTTGCAAAAGAATGTTTTTTTTTTTCTTTGTCATTATTACATAATGAGAGAAACAAGCAGACTTTTTTTTAACTACTCCAGAATTCTCAGCCTTAGGAATGAAATAAGCAGAGGAAAATTTGCTTGAAAAAACTCAGTGTGCCAAAACCATGCACCTAGCATTCTGGTTACCTCTTAAGATTTTGGTCATAAATGGTAGGTGCTCTAATTTTCATTTTGCTCATTATTAGCCCAATGAGATCATCTAATTGAATTCCTAAACGCTATTATATCTTTCAAAATTGGGGTTAATTTTATCTGTCTGATAAATACAGATAATATTTAACAAATCCAGTTTAGAGAACTATATGAAGCATTCAGACTCCTATTTTATGTCCTTTAAAAAATTCGATTTCCTGTAGCAGTAATTAATTTATCATAGCTTTATGAAGGTGAAGCTAATTATTCAAAGTAATATCTAATTTGAAGCAACCATTATTCACCAACCACATTAACACAAAATAAAATAAAGCAAAATTGAGAGGGAAAAGAATAAACTCTCTGCATTGTGTGGCCAACACTATTGTAAATACTTATTTAATTCTTTTTAGCAAATACAAGGCTCTCTGTGGTGGGTGGTCCCTGGGAAATTTGCTCTGGAACTCTGGCCTTTCAGTTTGTGACAGTGAAAAGAAACATGCCATTAATATAGGAGGAAGCAGACAAACCTCTGGAAAGATCCAAGAAAGTGATGTTGAAAATAAGACCTAACACCTGCTGCATTCTCACTGTATACCAGGCTTCACATGGAATCCTTACAGGCCCTAAGAGATGACCATTAACATCCCCATTTTCTAATGAGGCCATGGAGCTCAGCTGGTTTATGTAACGTGCACAAGATTAGTAGTAGAACCAGATCTCTTACGGAAGTCTGTCTTGCTCTAGTCTCATGCTTAACCAGTAACTCAATGCTTCCCATTTAGGGAGTAGCAGGATCAGCCATAATTTAAATTCCATTCAGCAAGTATTGTTAGTCCTGGCTCCACTCCCAGAGCCATGATATGGTTGCTCTCCTCTAGGAATTTGTAGTTATTAGAAGTATGTGTAGGATATAAGGCAGTATAGAATACAATTCCAATTGGA